CTGATTGATTTTTATTATTTGTTTCTGTTTGAGATGTGTAAAAATGAAGAGAAGATTATACCTTTGGGAGAAGGGATGGAGGAGGACGGCGGCGCTTCCGGTGGCCAGAGACGGAGGGGGTAGTGGTGCTGAGCTTGCTCTGGTATTCCTGGTACTCGTATTTACTTTTTGTTAGGTTTGATGATGATTGCCTGAAAACCTAGTTCATTCGTTTCTAAACACTTCTTTTCCTCTGATGATTTGCTTATGTGCTTGCCCCTCTGATATGCTTGATACGCTGAGTTGCCTTGTATGTTTATGACCCTATGATGAGCCTAGCTCTGAGGGCTTTGTTGGTTCAGTTATTGTTTCGATTTGTTGAAGATGCTTGTACGATTCTGATTGAGATTGGGATTTTGAGTATTGCTTTTGTTGATGTTTATAACCCTGTGATGAATCATTCTGAGGGTTTTGGGATGGAATGCTTGCTTAGACAGTTTTGAGGCTTAGGCTTGATAAGGCTTAAGGGTTTGAAGTTGTCTGTTTATGTTTGTTTCTGGTATAGGCTTCATCAGTTTGTTTTCTGGATTTTTGTACTGGTTTTTGACAGGTTGATGGCTTAGGCTTGATATGCTTAACACAGTCTTGAACAGGTTTGGAGGGTTTGATGGTTTATTTGGCTTTGGGGACAAGTTTGACAGGTTATGTGCTTGTGCTTTTTTCTGGTTTGGTTACAGGCCACAGGCTTGGCTTATGCAGGTGAAGTTTAGGCTTCTGTTTGAGGCTTTTAATGCAGGCTTCAGGCTTGAGGACTTCTGGTTTGAAGGCTTGATATGTTTGTTTTTTGAACTGAGTTTAGGTTTCAGTTTTGACAGGATTTGTGTTGTTTGAGGCAGGTTGATGGTTTTCAAGCTTTGAGCTGGTTTGTTATTTTGTTATGTATTCTTCCTCCCCGTTTATGTTCTGATAACTCTGTTTATATCTCTTGTCCTTAAGCTTCAAACCTGCTGCAAGCCTTTTCTCACTTCTCTCTTTTTCTCTCTCTCTACAGTTTAAAAAACATTTAATATTGCTTAAAACTGCTTTTTCTAAAAAGGTAACTTGGCTGGAAAATTATGTATCCTGGACATTGCTTGCAATATTTCTTTCCTCTGCATATTTCCTGTTTTTCTGCATATCTTGTGTACTTTGTGCTATCTTTTTGACAGCCTTTTTACCTTTTTTGGACAGTACTGTACTTGGACAGTTTGGTTGATATTTTGGACTTGGTTAGGCATATGCAGTTCAGTTTGCCTTTTATACTTGTACATGCTGTTTGTTTTGAAACTGTGCAGCTTGTTGACAATTTGAATTTGTGCAAAATTATAACTTTGTGCATTTCATACTTTTTGCAAGCATATTTCTATCCCTCTTTGTGAACCAAGATTAATCTTGTGATTTGCAGAGAGGGCAAACAAACTGATTCCGGCCAGTTACTTTTAATGATGAGCCTTATAATTAATTGTCTGCTTCTTTGATTATTTCATCTGCATTTGACTTCCTTTTGCTTCTTTTTGCAGGTAAAAAAAAATAATTGAGCAATGGGGAGCGTCAAATAGAAGACGAAGACTTAGAAAAAATAGGATGCAATTTTATTTTATTTCAATTATTTGTAACATTATTATTGTAAACAAAGATGTAAATAAATTTACAGTTGTTCAAATAATAATTTGTAACAAAACAATTAAAGATGAATAAAAAATCCTTTTTTGATCAGTTAATTCTCTTTTATTTCTCTTCAATTTTTTATTTAATTATTTGAGTTTCTTAAATTAAAACAACTGGAGGTAAATCCAATTATTCTGACTTAGAAAAAGAAACAATTAATAAACGTCTGGCGTTCCGAATAAAACATAACCATGCACAGTTGTTGTACCCCAAATTTTGACCTAAGATACCGTCTTCCATCTGCATCATTCGCATTGCAAGAGTTTTGACCATTTTTATCAAATTTTCAAAGCAGTTTAAAAATTCATAACTTTTTTCGAGTCGGGAGCTGTTTATTTGTTGAACGCTAAATTTATTAACTGATCAAGATTTAAATGACGTTTATTAATTATTTATTAGCTTAAATTTAAATAATTGGAATCTATTTTTCAATTGTTATATAATTTAAAGACTTATGAATAATGAAATAAGCCTTTGAGAATGAGTTTATTAATTGGTCAACAATGATTATTTAATTCTTTATCATTTTAGATTAAATAATTAAAATTCTATTTTTAATTATTATAATTTGGAATTTTACGAATAATGAATTAAATAGTTGAATTTGTTGATTAGTCAATGATGTTTATTTATTTGTTTGTCATTCTGAATTTAAATGTTTGGATTTGATTTTCAATCATTATATGATTAAGGAATTATAAACAATAAATAAATAATTGGAAAGAAAAGGAATTAATTGGGAAATAATAGAATTTTTATTCACTTTATTCTATTTATTACAATTGTTGTTTAAATACTATTGTACAAAGTATTTATAATAACCATTACATAAATGCTTAAAGTAAAATAAAACTATTTTTCTAAATTCTAATTCTAATCTTCTGTCCAATACTCTTTGTCTGCTCATTTAAATTTTACCTGCAAAAAACGATCAAAAAGAAAGAAATTAGAATTCGAATAAATAATTAAAATGCAGAAAAATAAATTCAATGTTCATCATTAAAAGCAGGCGACTGGAATCAGTTTACCCTTTTTTTGCAAATCACGGGATTTCTCCCGGTTCACAAAAAAAGGGAGGAATTTTTGTTTCATAAATGAATGCACAGTTTAAAACATGCACAAATTCATTTTTATTTTTCAAAACTGCATATTTAAAATTAATTGCATTTTCCAAAAATCCAATGCATATTTCAAAAAAAACACACAGCATACAAAGTAACAGCATATGCATAAGCATGCATTGTTCAAAAGGCAACGTGAACCTATGCAACAACTTGAGAAGAGTCCAAAAAATTAGGCTCCCATGCAAGACAAAGAGTAATATGCAGCTTAAATCAATGTGTGCAAGCAAGTGTTTTTCCTTTTTTTTCATCATCTTCCAGCCTGTTTTTTCAGAATACAGCAGTACAAAATATCATTTTCATATATCAGTTTTGTACTTGAGGTAGAGAGAAGAAGAGGTTTAGTTTTTGCAGGTTTTGCTTTAAGCATGAATTGGGAATAAAGTCAAACATATAGCAGCATATGTGTAAGGCATTAGAAATAATAAAATACTCAAAACCTGATGCCACAAAGAAGCAACGGCTATTTGAAACCCTTTAAAAGGGACATCACTGCATAGCATATTTTACACACACCATATCACTGCAAAAAGCTAAGAAATATAGTCCATTGCAAACCATCTCTAAGCAAAGCACCAAAGCATAAAAACCATTTTTTTCCTGCATATTGCACAAAATCAGTATGCATATCTCTACATAAAAACCATTATCCAGCATTATTCTGCATAAAAACCATTATTCTGCATAAAAACCATTTTTTCCTGCATATTGCATAAAATCAGTATGCATATCTCTACATAAAAACCATTATTCTGCATAGCATGCCTATATTCGAAACCTGCATATTTTCATAGTGCATATATACAAAACCTGCATATTTTCATAGCATGCATATATTCAAAAACCAGCATATTCTGCATAGCATGCATATATTCAAAATCTGCATATTTTCATAGCATGCATATTCATATTTTCATAAACCTGCATTTTTTTATAGCTACTGCTATCCAAGACCATAGTCCACTTTGGCAAAACCATAAAAAAAACAGTATAATCCAAAACTACCAAAAAACCATTTATTCAATATTTCCAACCAGTTTTTTTTAGACGGAGAAGAAGAGAAGAATTAGTAGCAGAAAGCACAGAGCAAGGAATCTTCGGAGCTTACCTGACTTCGCCGGAATCGTACCGTCGGACTAGCTCCGACCATGTGAGTTTCTTCAGTTTTTCGCATAAACCTTTATACCGTTGCGTTGCCTTTGTCTCACTTAACAATACTCTCTTTAATTTCCTGAAATCATGTAAAATGGCCATTCAACATCATTACAGATTTAAATCAAAAACAAAAAACCTTTATTTCATACACAAAAGTATTTTCAATATCAAGAATAGAAGTAGAAAATTCACAAAAAGAGTCATGAACTCAACACCATTTTAAGTAACTACGAAGGGTCGTTGTTGATATTTCACTTGCAACCATATTCTTCATTCAACTAATGCATAACTAATCAAGATGGCAGCAACTTTGCCATGCCTTCAAGCTTTACTACGGCTTCCTCCTTCGTCAAGTCTTCAATACATAGCCTGCTTGCATACTGCATAAAAAGCTATTAAAAACATAACAACAATTAACCGCATCTTACCTCTCGCGGCCATTGTGAGCACATCGCCTCTTCTGGTCACCCTACTCCGCACCTCCCTCGCTTAATCACCATCTTCATCAACCTATTTCAACAGTCATAACAATGTTTTCAAAATCTGGAAAATCATCACAATACACAGAATTCATAAAAAACTCATAAAAGGTCACAAGAACTCACCTCTCAAAAATGCTAACCATTCTTGATCTTCAACCTCGCCAATTCGCCAAAACACCGCGTCTCTTTCTTTTCAGGTGCTACTAACCTAAACATAAGATGCTGAAGAAATAGGATATTGATTCTGTAAAAAAAATGTAAAAGGAGTAAGTTCATTTCCATGTGAATTTCATATTCAGTTTCATGATGTAGGCTATAAACCTTTTGCCAAAGCATACATTGCACATTAGAGAAATAATATAGAGTATATATGACCCCATTTCAGAATCCCAATTCTTTTCTCCAAGTAACCGACACAGGAAGCCTCGTTATCATAGATCAATCCAATGAAACCATCTGGGCTAGTATTCAAATCAATAAAAAAATTCAACCTTACTAAATACTTTGCTGCAAGAAGACCGTGTTCTTGTGGGTCCTGAAGCTGGTTTGACTAGAGATGCAATCAGAACTCAGTTTGAATTTCAAGGAAGAACAATATCTGGTTGATATTGCCGGTTGGTTACAAAGGACAAAACTGGAGAAAGGAGCATCATCCTTGAGCATTATGCAATCAAGAAAGAGTCTACTCCGGGCTCATATAATTGCTTTGGTACTAGATGCAGACGAGATAGTAAATGCTAAACGAAGTATGAAACACGCTGAAGTAGTTATAGCCAGACGAGCCGTGGAAGAGGGACGTGGTCTGTTTGTGATTGTGAACAAGATGGACCTTCTAAGGGGCAAAGACAAATCATCATCCTATGAGCAGATTATGGAGGTTGTTCAACAAGAAATTCAAACAGTTATACCTCAGATTACCGGAATCCTTGTATTATTCATTTCAGCGTTAGAGGGAAGGGGCCGGACAACCGTCTTACATCAAGTCATTGATACATATGAAAAATGGTGTACCAGATTATCTACAGCTCGTCTTAACCGTTGGTTGTTGCAAAAGGTTATGAGCAGGCATTCTTGGAAAGACCAGGCAGCACAGCCTAAGATAAAATATTTCACTCAGGTTAAGGCCCGGCCACCTACATTTGTTGCGTTTGTGCGTGGAAAAGCCCGACTTTCTGATACAGACATCAGGTTCTTAACAAAGTCCTTGAAAGATGACTTTGATTTGGGTGGAATTCCTATACGCATCATGCAGCGTGCTATCGCTAAGAAAGATGGCAGTGGAACTAGCAAGAGTATCCATTCAGTAGGCAGAGTGGCTGAAAGGATTAAGTCTGACAAGAGAGAAAGAGGCGACTTAGTTGAATCAAAGGCATGATCGTCACTCCATTAAAAAAAAAAATTGCAAGAGGGATCTTAGTTTCCGTATTTTGGAAGCTCCAAACAAGTGTTTGACTGAAGAAAATATTTGACTTCTGGTGCCGTCTCTGACTATGCTTGCGGCAAACAAAATCACGAGCAAAGGGGGCTTACCTCTAGGTTTCTTGACTCATCTCATCGCCGATATCAAACGCCGCTTTGACCGGGAGAGTCTCGTCCCCGTTGTGGAGAAGTGAATTTTTGGCAATAGGCGGAGATTTGGAGACACGCGAAGAAGGTAGGAGGAGGAGATCGGAACGAGAAGGAAGAAAAGGAGGTCCAGTAGCGGCGGCCATGGCATCAGTTTCCTTAGGTTTTTTTTTTCGTCACAAGTATTCTGTCCGGGTCCTCCCAACCGCTCCATTTGCCTCAACTAAGCCCATTTTCTTTTTACACTTAAGCCCTTTCTCTTTGCTAATCCACCCCCCATCTTATTTGGTTTTTAGTTAAAATTCTATTCATTTCTTAACTTAATTAATCTAGATTAATTAGTTTCTTAGAAATAACATATAGTTTTAATTAAATAATTTTAATATTTTATCCAAATCTCATTTAATCTAAGTTTAGGTTATTTTAATAACTCTAGTCTTCCTTATTTTAATTAGATATTTGATTTATAAGTTTTATTTAATTTGATAAATACTTAATATCTCTAAAAAACATACAAAAATGAGAAAACATAAAGACCTGCTATTTTTCCTTTAATTTATTCCCCTCGTTTTGATTTAATACTAAAAAAAGACATAAAAAAATAAAAACATATAAAACCTCAAAAACATTTCTATTAATTCTCATTACCTTTTATCATTAAAAATGCGTAAAAAGTGAAAACCAATTAAACTTTTTTCTTTTCGCCTATTAAACAAAAAATCATATAAAATGCATGTTCACATTTAATTGTTGTGTATCATCTTCTGTCAATTATTTCATCGTACCTGATTATCATGTTTGCACCAATCCAAAGGGAATAGTCTAATTTTTGTTGACTTCATGTCCTCAAAAAACGATCGAGCGAGTACCCTCATTTCATTGAAACTTAGGATAATTTTTCCAAATATCCGATTTCTCCAAAACTCACACCTTTTAAGTCAAAACTTCAACGTTAGGTTGTCGTATCTTCAAAAACCCGTCCGTATCCCTTTTCGGCCAAAACAATTTATTTTCAATCAAGCAATCAATTTTAAATAAAACAGATATTTCAAAAGGTTCCTATAGAGTACTATAGATGCATTGGGTGCTAATACCTTCCCATTGTATAACCAACCCCCGAACCATAAGATCTCTTTTCAAAAACGCTTTGCATTTGTATTTTTAGTTACATTGCATATTTAGGGTTTTATTTCGCTCTTTTCCCTTTTCCTTTGGAAACAATAAAGCGCGGTGGCGACTCTTGCTTTTGTGAGAACGAATTAATCAATAATTCGATCTCCGATTTACCCCGCTACATTTTTTATCGCTACAGAATTGGCGACTCTGCTGGGGACAGATTGACCTCTTGCTGGTCCATCCCTAAGTGGGTTAAGCCTAATTTGTCTTATCTGTTTTACTATTATTTGATTTGCTTGATTATATGTTTAAATTGGGGTGTTTGGGTTTTTTGAAGGACGAATCCTATACCCGGATTAAGTAACACTTAAGGAATAGGACGGGCGGTATAGTCATGTTAACTTTGAGGGAGTAATCCCGAAGAAGGAGGCATGAGATCCCCCACTCAATGGAAGGCCCTCTTGAACTTAATATTTGTTTACCGAGTAATCGGGAAGACATTATTATTTTCGACCTAGGAGCCCGAGAAGTTGAGGACCGTAGAACCCTAACCCATCTTGGCCTTTTAGGTGTAGCGCGGAGACTATAACGGAGTAATTCGGAAGTAGTTGTTACGCGATGCTACGCTCGGACGAGTTTCTCTTGAGAATATTGCTAATTATCGAGTAATCAAGACGTTGGCAATATCCGAAGGAGGAATGTAGACTCTGGGAACTCTTAGAACCTTGTTCTACAGGTGTGAGTAAACCGTTAGTACATACCTTTGGGTGGGCTTTACCCTCGACTCCATGCGAAACGTTGAACCTTTAAACCCCATGTTTGTGACCTTACCTGTGGTTGTTGCATCGCCATGCATTCATGCATCCATAAAACTCTTTTCACTTGACTTTGAAGGAGTTTGGAGGTCTTTCTTTGTAAACATCACTAGTTTCGTCAAACTCAATGGATCTTGGGTGTCGATAGGGCGAAAACCCTAATCCACCAAAATGGATGATTGATCTTGACGATAACTTGATCAATGTTTGGAGCCAATTTAAAATTCATCTGTTATCTTCATACTTGGATGTTTATAACTTGATATCTTGAGTTTCTTGAAAGTCAACTAAAACTCTCTTTTGCATATCATACATCATTCTACATTTTCTTTGTATCACTTTCAAAGGTCTTTTTCCGAGTCTTATTTTTTTCCTTGGTCTCACCAGTACAACACTGACGCTAAGAGAACAATGGAGAATATCAAGCAAGAGGTTTCTGAACTCCGCAGAGAGGTGATTATTTTGAAAGCCAGTATGGATCACTTAACTGGTTTGGCTGAAATTCTGGTCGCCGCCCAAGTCAATCCTTCTAGGAGGGAGGAAGCGATGTTAAAAGTCTTCACGGAAACTCTAAAATCTTTTTCTCATGAAAGGTGACGGTTAATGCACCTGACGACTTTCCTGACAAGGTGAATGTGGGAGTGCGTCTAGAAGAAGATGTCGGAAAAGGATGTTCATATGAAGACGGTAGCGCAGCTAATGGTGTGAAGAAGTTTGATAATGACTTTTCCAAGAAGAGAACCAGAGGAAGAAATGTTCATCAACAGAATCAGCAAGTTCCTAATCAGAGGAAAACCCAGTTTGATTCAATCCCTATCACCTATACAGAGTTGTTCCCTATCCTGATGCAGAGGAATTTGGTTCAGACCCGACCTCCACCGAAGGTCCCTAAGAAGTTACATTGGAACTACAAAGCTGATTTGGCTTGTACTTTTCATCAAGGTGCTCGTGGGCATGACTTGGAGGGTTGCTTCGCTTTGAAGATTGAGGTTCAGAAGTTGGTCAGAAGTGGTATCTTGTCATTCAAGGACGTTGGTTTTGAAGTTCAAATCAAACAGGCGCCGAAGAGTAAACACGACTGAGGGTGACTTTGAGTTGTTGAAGATGTTTTCGGTAGTTCAAGTGGAAAGTCTTCCCAGATTATTAACTTGTTTCTGTTTTTGTAGCTTTTCTTATTTATCGAAACATTGTTTGCATGTAGGAACTTGTTTGCGTCTGAATGATCATTTAATACAATGAGTATGTTTGTCTTGAAGAAATTCATTCGTTTCACTCATATTTGCTTTCAAATTTTAAATTTCTTTTGCATTATGATACCAACTTATTGCCCATTCTCTTGCCTAGGCAGAGATTGAAAGGGGGGATGATGATCTAAAGAACACAAAATCTTTGGTTGCATGCTTTTGAGTAAGATCTTGTTGATGATGTACAGGCATTGTTTCAAATCCCTAAACACCGGAGATATAAGGAAGATAATCCCTTGCTAACCCCTTTTGAGCCTTTGAAGCAGAAGTTTCTTTTCTATACGAAAACCTTGAATTTTAACCTGGGGCAGGGTAGCTTTCTGGTCATTTGATTGAGTGTTCAAAATTCGTAAGAAAAATTTTACCGTCACAAAATCCTCTTGATAGATGAACACTCAGGTTGAATTAACCGAGCATAGGGTTGGAGAACATCATGAAGAATGGGTGGGCACCAAATATTTTGAGCCTTAAAACCTTTTTTCTAAAAAAACCATAAACCAGACCACATTACAACCTTCAAAAGTCCTAATTGAAGCAAGGTCATTTCGAAAGCATACTTCAATGAGATATTGTTCCTGACTCCCATGAGTTTCAAATAGTTATGTTAGTATCATATGTTTTTCCCATACGAAAATAAATGATGCTCTAACTCGCACAACTTGTGCGATATCTTTTCAAAATCTTCAAGACTTACATAACTGTTGCATTAGAATTTTCATTCTCATTGTAAACTCTTTCTAACTGCAAAACATGCGTTTGATGTCAAGGAAGCTCACATAAACACCAGTGATGAGTTTACTCTTTTGAGGCTTGAAACTTTGTTGAGTAATTGGCGGATCACGTCGAGAGAATCATATCCAGGGGCATGTCAGTTGAAGACCTTAAGCATGGACAGGTTGCTTCTCCTAGTTATTGCTTTTCCCAATTTGTTTGCTCGTCTGGGGCAAAAATTCGAAGACTTTGTTGTGCCGACTACAGTCAATCCGGGGCAATCACGTCAAGATTGGACGATTTCCTTTAAGAGTTTGAAGACACCAGAGCATGGTGAATGCCAGGTCTTCTGTAAACCCTCTCAGGACGTTTCCTCCTCATCAACCAGATAGCTTGGGGCACCTTTTAGAAGTGAAGTTATTCGCAAGAATCGTCGTGCATCATGCAGCTCGTCAGCAGTGATTTGGGGCACCCAATTTGGTCCCAGGAGCAATCCAAATTTGTCAAGATATGTTTTCAGAGGGTGGTGTTCCCAGTATCTCCAGCTAAGCATGACTCTTTTTCAGCTGAAGATTTGTTCGTGTTGTCGACGATAGAAGATGGGACTTTGGGTTGAATATTTTCCTCTCCAAAGAGATTTAAGCCTTGTAGAAGGATTTTACAGCGTTGTTGGCTTTTGTCTTCTTTCTCCAGTGATGTTCCCCTCCTGTTGAGATTAGCCGAGCATCGGGTTGTACTGTGATGTCTTATCATCTTCTGTCCATCTCCCCCGTCAGTTTTGTCAGCATATACATGGCATTCATTTATTCATTTACACTTGCATCATGCACGCACAGTTGTATTTGTTGTTGTCTTTAAATTCGTACATCTTGGTTGTGTCTTTTCAAATAACGTATTTGATCCTTCCAAATAGAGTGCCAACT